CATCAGGACACTAAACATTGGTCATTAGGCTCATGGTCCTCTTTTGCATGTGAACAACCAGTTTCTATCGTTATTGTTTAACTTAATTTGTCCACCGTGTGTAAGTACTGCTTATAAAGCTGAGTTTACCTGCAACTGTTTAGACTGAAGAAGTCTTTTTGAGAAGAGACAAAACTTTTCAACAAAGAAGAACCTGTCCAATGGACCTACTCTGCTTTTCTTTTTTAGCTAAAAATATAGCTTTGCTAACTCTAACCACTAAACGTAAAAAAAAAATAAAAATAAAAAGAGCTAACACTAACAGTCTGACCATTAAACGACTGTCACTCAGTCTGCGTCACACGTCTTCTACTGGTGGGACTGACACAACCCTGTTGATGCTAGCTTGTTAGTTAGCTGTTAGTGGACTTAAAGTTGTCAAAACTTAATTACCAGAAACTAATTTGTCGACTAACGTTTTTTTCAAAATTTGTGAAAAAGCTAATCCGCTAAACAAAAAATGAGTTCTGCTATTAGCTGATCAGTGGACCCATGCCCACCACTGGTGAGGTGATAATTTATTTATAATTCTCCAATCAAGACAACATCAGACATGCTTTGTAATGCTGGTGTATAACCTTGAAATTTAGCTTTTAAGGTGTCTTTCTTTCCTGATTACGATATTGTATTGACTTCCGTCATTTCTGAAGCCTAACCCAGACTACTGCAGACCTGAAACCAACACAAATTTAAACTGAATTCACATCTTAGCCCTAAACCTAACTCCCAACCCAAAAATGATGAACCTCCAGATTAGGTCCAGTCCCCATGAGAACTACGGATTCCATTTTCTCCAGTTTTCTGTTTTCCCTTTCTGACACCCCAACATTATGTTGATTCCTCTCACGCCCCAAATTTGCTGTCTGTCATCCTCAGAGGTTTTTGGTCAGTCTCAGTACAGTGTAGGGGCTTCTGTTAACCTGAGAGGCAGAGGGTCAATCCCTGTGATCCACAGCCTGCATGCCTTCCATACACACTCGCCACCGACACGGAAACCCGACTCCCAGACAGATTAGGACTAATCAAGCGTAGCACAGCGCTGCCATAACACACACACACATACGAAGACACACACGGACACCCTGTGTTACAAGCATGTTCGCACCTGTAGTTTCTGTAAGTCATGGCCAAACGTGGTGAAATAAAATAATATCCACTGTAGCGCTGCCTCATTCATCACTGTGATTCCTTCAGTTTTAATTGTCACACAGGATCAGTTTATTCCTGTGGTCCGTTTAACTGAAAAGTCAGAGCTCAGATGTAGGAATGTGTTCCAGTTAAGAATGATAACCTGGTTATTAATTATCAGCAATACAGGTTGATTCACATGAAAATTTGTGGGGTAAAAATGAGCGCTGTTTTTAATTCAGCAGGGTTAGATTAACAGTTTATGTCTAAATGGATTAAAATGACTAACTGGTTGAATTAGAGCTACTAAAGCAGGGCTATTCAACTGACGGCCCACGGGCCACATCCGGCCCACAAGTGACCAAACTTTGGCCCATCAATTGGTTCATTCATCTCTTARGCCCAAACCCCTGGATTTCTAGTTTAATTACTATAAGTTATTTTAGTTAAACATAGACATGTTTGGTATCTACAGAAACGTCAGAATCTTGGCTAGAAGCTGCAATTTATATGCACACTCAAGACAGTTAAAATTACAAGCAGTTGAAGATAAAACCATGAAAGTGAAAATAAAATTGGTTTAAATATTTGGCAAGTCAGAGATGTCAAAATAATATTTGTAGTAAAAAGAGGTATATAAGTGTTTTTGTWTTTGWTRTTGTTTTATTATCACTACTTTCATATGGTTCTGTATGTGGCATTCATGAATAAATACAGCAAAATAAATTATTTCAAAGGTAACAGGTCTTTGTAATACTTGATTTAATTACATAATGACTTTAATTGCTGGATGTTCAGCCCCTGAGCTGTTGACCTGCAGTAACTCTGCAATTTAGTAGAATAGTCCTGTCCTAAAGTGTTATTAGATAATTACAACTTTGGTTTTGCTAGCTAGCTGGTGCTAACAGAGGTTAGGATTTAGGAAATWATACTGGAAATAAATATTTCCATATTTAATTAAGAAGGTGTGCTAAATTATAATCTGTAAACAATTTTAATGTTGCATACATTTTGATTGATAAAATATAGATTTACAATATGTACATATTTATTTATATGAACTTGCCGACCTAATTTCTAAACAATGTCATAATTCATATCATCTCCATTTTATTTTATTTATTTACCTATTTCTGGAATAAAAATACACATCTGTTGCAAACATCGCTGTTTTTATAAAATTATGTAATTCAAACAAAAAAAAAACACTGTTGGTGATGAAAGACTGAAATCCAACCCACTCTGTCATCAATAGATCTAACAAAATGCTACATGCTAAAAACAAACAGCCCTCCAGATGGTAATTCTTTGAGCTGACGGTGCGGATCAGGCAGTGACAGGACTCAGGACCTGGAAGAGTTATGGCCGTCGGTGCATGTGCATTAATAACTACAATTTGCTCTATTGTTCATAAGCGTTCTGCAGAAAACCACTTCAAAAGAGCTAAACTATCCATTTAGATACAAATAGGTTGTTGTATTTGTATCTAGTATATTTGTTGTGTTTGTATTTCAGCAGTTAAAGAACAGTGCCTAGTTTTACCCTCAAACATTTGTGTCTATGTAGATGACTGAATAATGTAGATTAAAAATACTTTGTGTGACAAAGATCAAACTACTGAACAAGTAAAGTACATAAAACCTTGTGGCATTTATTTCTGTCAAAATAGGTTAACACAGATATGTCAGAATTTCTATCTTAGCCGTTCCCATCGTGTTATAATTTCCCATAAAACAGTCAGGTCCGGTCATTACTTTGACTTCTCCCAGTAAAAAATGTTCCCATCACTCCCAGGTGTCGACCAAGTCATCTGGTCCATCTGGTCCTGAACGTCTGGGACGTCTCAGGCTTCTCTTAACTCCTTCTTCTTTGTAGTCTGCAACGAGAACCTGGTTTAGACTTTGTAGTCGTCAAATGGAACTTTTTTTTTCTTCCTGCAGCCACCGTGTTCGACGGGACAAGTGATTTATGCTGCTGGGGTACAATCAGGGTGATCCCACCATTTTCTGCTGAGGGAAGGAAGGAGGCTTGTTCTGGATGTTGTTATGGGTGTCTGCACACAACCCMGCCGTCCTCTGAGTCCAGGATTAGCGATCAAAAAGACTGATGGGGAGGGTTTAAGGAGTGTGGTGGGTAAAAGGAAACCAACCCGGCCTGCCCAGGTGGTGTGGGTGAAARCAGATCCGTGGCGTGGATGGGTGGACGTGTACGCCGCCGTGACTCGAACAAGGAGTACACGGCGTGGTGAACTCCGTCTAGTTGGATTTGAACCATGACCGATTGGATTTCAGGCCTGGGGAGGCGACCCTTGACCTTATTTACAACATGTGCCCCTCTGATTTTACCTCAGACACATTTCAACCTCGTATTACTGTTTACAACCCAGACAAGTAGGAATATACGATGTTTGGCCTGTTTTAGATACTTGTACTTTCTCAGTTTTAGCCTTATTTAAAAGGTAAATAATGTGTTTGTGAACTGAAAACAGTCTTAGAATGATCACAATGGATTTTTGTGATAATAATAGYAGCTTGTAAACTATAATCTATGCTTTTTTGTGTTTTATTTATAATATATCACTGCCAAGTGTTTATTTTTAGGTATTTAAGATTCTAAAATGTAACAGAATTTAATTATTTGTAAGTTCACAAACATGAATTCTGTTTAAATGTCTAAAACTGAGACAAACGACAGAAAAAATGCCTCAGATTTGACCTCAAATGTGACAAAAACCAACAACATAGTCCGTTTATTCTCAATAAATACATTTATTATCTTACAGTCCCCATAAGGATGTCTCCACATGAGCTATTTAAGGCCTGCCGACACACAGATGGTGGTCTCACATGTAGGTGGTCTCGTCGTCAGAGTCTGAGTCATACCGTGAAGAGGTCCAGGCTTCAGGGAGGTTATTGCACTGCAGGTAGCTGAAAATCACTTGGGCCTGATGGGAAACACAGAGAGTGATTTAAGTTTGACCTTTAATAAAGTGGCCTAAAATAACTCAAAAAGTAAACCCAGATGTTTTTTCACACTGATTTATTTATTTATTTATTTATTTATTTATTTATTTATTGAAGGGAATCAGTGTTTTCTTGAGACTCCTGTCAAAGCTCACCTGGATCACCACCTCCTGAGAGATGTCCACCTTGGGCCCGTCGTGCCCCAGTCCAGCCACTGGGGGGCGTAAGAGGCTGGGACCAAAAACTGTGGCCAAGTTCAGCAAAGACATCTTGTTGATCTCCTGCCTCTGTGCAACTCTGAGGGCAGAGGATTTAAATCCCATCTTTAGCATCATCATACTCTGACTATCTGATAAACAAACCAGTCGTTACAAATGAACCAGAACACAGACATAACAGCAGAAGTGAGTTTCAAACCGTTGGAGGTGATGCAGGAGGAAGAGGAAAGTGTGCCGATTCACGTCAGGACAGGAATCCAGCAGCGACAACATGGACACCAGCCGTGAGTTTAGGTCCTGGATATCTACAGGAGGAGGAGGATTCAGTGAGTGGAAGTGGGTCGTCAGCATATCCCTTCTGTTGACATAAACTTTTAGTTCTAGTTAACATTAAAGTTCAGGACAGGACACAAGTAGAGCGTGTTTTAAGTTCCTCGTTATTTGTAGCTTTAAAGTGAAATTACTGTCACATGTAGTTATTTCTCTATTCTACTAAAAGTTGTTTGTGACACGTGAAAACATCTAATTACTAAAAAAATAGTTTTCACTTAAGCGTGTCGCCATTTTGTTACTARCACAGTGCATTCTGATGATGGGTTACAGTTGAGATTAAAACATAGTCAAGTTTAAAAAGCTGTGTGACAATAAATGTTTGAACTAAAGTCWATGTTCTGCACAATATATGAGTTAAAACGATCAAACGTGATGTTTAGTAAATTAGCTCTGGAGATAACGTCATATACTTACAGTATCCATAGTGTTAGCTCCTAAGCTAGCAACATTAGCTTAGAAGCTAATGCAAAAAAGTTATCTCCCAAGCTACAATTATTAACATTGAGGCCAAAAATATAGGCTGTGTCTCAATTCAGGGGTTGCAGCCAACATAGGGTGCATTTGTGTCCACCTACGTTGTAGGCTGTAAGCCRTCCCAATTCATGGGCGCCAGCTCATGCAGCCGACAAAACCCTGAAAAYGTAGGCTGCATCTGAGTATCCTACGTGGCCGGCGGTATCCCAGAATTCATTGCAGCGTCAGCAAACTAAACAGAAAAACTAAGAYGACTGAGGTTATTATTATTTTAYGGCAGAGTTTGGAAATTCATCACGGACYGAAGCATTCRTTTTTAAATGCGAGTTTAGCAACTYAGCCGATGAAATCCATGCCGCAATGAAATGTTAAATAAAATGCAGCTATGAGTACAGATACTGGAGCTAAGCCCAAAATATGAATGTTTTTTTACATGTAACATTTTTCTAATAATACTGAATTTAGTGAAGTCATGCTGTGAAAAACAACTGAAGGCATGTGGGCAGCCTGTGGTCACGTAAACATACTGTACGTCATTCCATTTATGCAGCCGACACTGGCGGCCTATGGCCCACATGGTCAACGTGGGCCACAGTCTACATGGGCTGCAACCCATGCATGCACGTCAACACCTTTAAACGTTTACCTGTATCCTGACCCTCAAAAGCTTGTAATTTTCACAAAAAGCCATATTACTTACACGCAATCTTGGGGGGGCGGGGACAGACATGACTGCTGCGGGGAAAAGTTAGTAGATAGTTTTTTAGTTTTATTTATTGTTGTTGTTTTTTTTTTCTTTTAATCTTACAGGCTCTGAGATGCAAAACAAATGAGTGAGATTGCTCTATACCACTGTGAACCTGCAAAATAGGGGTAATTTACTGAGAAATCTTTACAATTGACATGTATGCCTTTGGGTAACTGAGACACAGCTACTGTATGTGTTATTAAAATGTGGTGTTAGCTCCCAAGCTATTGTGATTATTATTACTACTAATGTGTGGTAATGGCTCAGAAGCTAATATCTTTACTAAAATAAAGCGTGTGTTTATGTCAGCCACAAATCTGTCAACTAATTTATGAGACATTAAAAATTTAGATTTAATATCAACAACATGATATAAAGAAAGTATTGTTTTATTTTAAAAATGAAGTGATCTGTATTGTGTTACCCAGAGTTTTTGCCAGACTCTGGAACATTTCCGCAGGTATCAGAGACTCGGGCAGATCTCTGATGTAGAGTTTGAGGAGACCAGAGACGGCGTTCACTTCTGCACTTCTCAGTCTGGTTACTGCTTCTCTCAGATCTGAGYAGACAGACAACCATGACACCGTTTCACTATGACGCCAACTTCCTTCCACGCTCAGCGGTTAGGTTGTGTGTGTCGGCCGTGCGTGTTTTCCTTACTGCTGTTGAACGCAGCTTTGAGCATGTTGATGTCGGTGGTGGTCCCCGAAATCCTGTAGAGGCCCACCTCGTCCAAGCCCCTCCTCTCCAGCTCCTCCACGCAGCACCGCACCACGTGAGGAACCAGCACACCCTCCTGTCTGGCGAAAGGGAAGGAAAAGTGCTCAGAACGGGGCAGACTGATTCGCTTCAGGGTCGTTTCGCTTCACAGCGGCCTCCGCTTGTGCCACACTTCTGCTTCGCCCACTCCCCCGCAGAAGTGACCACTTCTCTTATGAAACMCAGTCACATAAAACAGCAAAGGGGAAGCAAAACTCTGAACAGAACGTTAGCTTCAAGTGATATAAATATGTTCAGACAGACCCCCCTGTGGTGGGTTAACACCTTCTGGTTTGGCTTTATCKGCAGAGACGAACAGGAACTTACTGCGCTACTGTTTCAATCGGGATGCCGAAGACAGGCGGTGGCTGGACTGTGGAGCTGGGGGGTTCAAGAGRGTGAGAACTGTACTTCAGAGAGAGCGTCAGGTCCACCTGACCCAGCTGCAGGGTCTGTCTTCTCCATTGGGTACTCAGAGTTTTAGGCTCCAACTACAGCAGGAAAAAAAAATACATGTTTTTGAACATGATCATTAATGTAAAAGCAACAAASAGGGCAAAAATAATCCAAAGTCTGCATCAACATAAGTTATGCTGGATATATAAAGCAGATACAGAGCAACATTTGCTTTATTTGTGACATTTTCTGGGACTTAAGCTGCCTAAAGAGATGGTTGGAAATGGGGTCTCAGTGGAAAAGTTGTAAACAATATCCTACCTGTTGTAGATAGCTATTTAAACAACCTCAGTTTGGAGGAAAAAAGTTATATTACCGAGCTAACARCTAGTCTAAGCCCAAAGTGGATTACTGCCACCATTTTCACATTAAACAGTGATTCCAGCTGAAATACGATATTCCTGCAGGGACTACTTCAGATTACAGCAGACATGCTACAGCTTGTTGCCACCGCCTCTGTTTTTTGAAAATAACATAATAAAATTGAATGTAGAATGTTTAACATTTTTAAAATTACAATCGTTTTAGGTAATTAATGATTTCATTCTCAGCCTCACTCAGACTT